ATGGCCTGCTAAGAGTAATGATAGAAGAAAATCATCTGGGTTCATCAAGTGGATTCTAACACATCAGTGCAAGCATATCTAGATGCCATGGTCAGAGAGATAAGAAAGTTGATTGTAGCCAAGGTCCAGAGCCAACCATCATCAATTTATGACTTTTGTGGAATAGGTCATCCAACGCATGAGTGTCAGGCCTCAGCTGCAGATGAAGTGGTAAATGATATGGGAAGCTTTGACAGAGTCAACTACCAGAGTGGTAATAATTATAACTCTATGAGGCAGAGGCACCTAGGCTTTTCTTGGAGTTCAACAAATGGTAATCTCAACTCATGGCAGCAGAATAATCCGAGACCCTATGGACAAGGAGCTCCAGGATTTCAGAATCAGCAGAGGTAGCAATATCAGCCTCCATATTCTAATCAGGCTAGCTTGGAAGATCTAATAAAGGCCTTCATTATTAAGACAAGGTGAGAGATTTGAAACTCATAGTGTAGCTATTCGAAACATAGAGAGGCAAGTGGGGCAGATTGCTAGTCTGTTATCCGAGAGGTCCCCAGGAACCCTCTACGCGGATACCAAAAGGAATCCAAAGGAAACAGTGAATGCAGTGTCTTTGAGGAATGGCAATATATCACAAGATTTGTTGGTAGTAGAGAATAATTAGTTGACGGGATATCAAGTTAAGAATGAAGGAGAGCAGAAAAGTGATGAGCATAAGAGTGAAGTGAGGGCAGAGCAAGAGGATGATCTGAAGAAGAAGAATAAGAAAAAGAAGAACAAATATGAAGTTCCTACAAGGAATAAGAAAGACAAACAAAGAAGTAATGATGATATCGAAGAGAGTAAATATGTTCCTTCTCTACCTTTCCCTTGGAAGCAAAGAAGAGAGAGCCTAGACAAACAATTTGGGCATTTTCTAGAGGTTCTCAAGCAGGTGCATGTTAATGTACCTTTCACAGAGGTGCTTTCACAAATGCTAGCATATGCCAAGTTCTTAAAGGAGATACTGTCCAACAAGAGGAAAGTAAAGGACACATCGATTGTCAGGCTCACAGAATATTGTAGTGCCATTTTGCAAAATAAGCTCCCTTAAAAGTGTAGAGATCCAGGGAGTTTTACTATACCTTGATCTTTAAGAAGCACTAAGTTTGAAAAATCTTTGTGTGATTCGGGTGCTTCTATTAATCGTATGCCTTTGTCTATTTTCAGGAAATTGGATGGAGAAATTGGAGAAATCAGATCTATACCCGTGTCCTTGCAGCTAGCGGATTAGACCACAATCATAACTGAAGGACTAGTAGAAGATGTGCTAATTAGAGTGGACAAATTTGTGTTCCCTGTGGACTTTATCGTGGTGAACATGGAAGAGAATAGGAAGTCCCTCTAATTCTAGGGAGACCCTTCTTGGCTACTGGCACAGCGATTCTGGACATTCAAGTAAGGCAGCGCATGCTCAGAGTGGGGGAAGAAAGGGTGGTCTTTAATATGGAATGAGCAATGGGGCCCTAAAAGAGCTAGCTAGAGAGAGTAAGCATGATAAGTGTGGGGTGTACCCAAAGAAGGAAGAAAAGAAGCTCTCAGCATGGATGTGTGCACTGGGTCGGTCATGCAAAGGAGATCCCGACTTCGATTTAGACCCTGACTAGATGAATTAGGAGAGTTTTGTTTACCTCTTGCTCTTTATTTGTGTGTCATAGGGATATGCCACAATTTAAAGTGGGGGTGGGGGATGTAAATATGTGCATGTTTGTTTGTTTTCTTGTGTTTTGCTTGAAATTATTTTTTTGACTTTTCCCGACGATGGATTTCCTCGACTGTCTTCTCGAGGGATCAAAGTCGAAGAAAAATATATATTTTATTTTTCTTAGGTAGGTAACAATTCTCCCTTGATATTTCTTTATGATGCGGTTCTCTTCCAAGGGTTTTGTTTGAACCGGGTGTAGTTAGTTTTACTTTTATTAGGAATAGGGAAGTCTTGTGCTCTAGTGTTAATTAGAGATAACTTATCTTAACTTTGTTATACCTTGAGAGTAGTGAGTGCCTTAGTCGTGACGCCCAGGCTCAGTTCTTGACTCTTGGATAAGTGCCTAAAATTATTTGATTTTAATGTTGCTTAATTGCTTTGACCAGAGAGTCGGGATAGATCCGGTCCTAAGTGAGTTATGTTCCTATGTATGTGTGAGATTTTGTTGATATTCTGTGCATGTCAGTTGATGTCTAGAACATGCCCCGTATGTTTGCAAAGCGAAATAGTAGTCTTGTTTAGTCTAGGAAATGATAGAGGCATTTCTTTGTTGAGTCAATTATATATTTATGACCCGCCTAATTATTGTGTATCCTAGTTAGCCCTTTTGAGCCTATAATCCTACTTCTTTGGCAACCACACTACAAGTGTGATCCATATTATTTTGAATTGACTATCTTTTTGAACCTTTTACATCTCTTGAGCACTTGAATTTGTTATAAACTTGTAAAAGCTAAGTTGAGGTATGGTCGGGTTTTTGAGTGGAACTATTGAGAAAGGTGCATTGTTTGAAAAATTGTGACAACCTCTTTTAGGGAATTGAAAGAAAAAAAGTGAGTTTTCTTGAAAAAACAAAAATCAGAACTTAGAAAAGAAAAAAATTGATTCCTTGCTAGTGGTAGTTCTCATCGTGGTTGTGCTTAAAGATATTGAGAGCTTGATGCTATTATGTGTGAAGGTTAGGGTTTGGTTCAACAAAAGTGTGGGGTTTAAATTATTAATGTATATATATTAAAGTGCTTAGGAAGGTGTAGTCACTATATCTATATGTATCCTACCCATCCCGCAACCTACATTATAACCAATTAAAGTCCTACTTGATCTTTGACTGAATGAGCTCATTTAGTAGAGTATTACACTACGGGCAAGCCTATGATACGTTTTCTGTGGCACATGAATTTTAATTTTGAGAGTGAGTTAATTTTTTCTATCTTGAGTTCCTATTTGTTCTTGTACTTTATTGTGTGTGGAACTACTCTCTATCTTTGGTGTGAGGGCGCATAATTTGTAAAGGAAAGGTAATGTCTTTGGCCTATGTGTTAGAGTAAGTTAGCAGTTTTTTAAAAAATACGTGGTGCATGTGAGTCGAGTCTTGAGGCTAGGATGTTATGATAGGATGCTTACTCTGCTTTAAATATTCTTGGCATGATGCGTTAGGAAAGTTGTCTGATAAAAAGGTCGTCTCTATGTGAAGTGTAGTTTGATTGCTCGAAGACGAGCAATGGTTTAAGTGTGGGGTGTGAATGTTAGGCTACGAACACGTGTTTTAGCCGCATTTTGCACTCTAATTACTGCACTTCAAGCGTGTTTGAGCTTAAATAGTGGTGATTTACATTTATTACGTGTTTTATGCTTTGAATGAGATTATTTCGAGTTAGAAGATGGGCTGGATAAAAATGTACTAGTGCGTCGCATAAGTCGTGGTATTAAGCATTGCATTTGTACAAAGGTTCGTCAGAAATTTGAGAAGTTCAGAGACTTGGTGTTTTTGGGTCTGACAGAAAAATACACTAATGCGACGCAGGGCGCGTGGCATAGTGCGACACATTAGTACAAACGTTTGTCAGACAAGCTAAGTTCAAAGAGTTTACAACTAAGCAAATTACCTAATGCGACACAGGGTGCATGGCACTGAACGATGCATGAAGTGTAAAAACTTTACAGGTTTTTCCACTTCGGCTCAGAGAGGATAGTTTGGTCCGGGCACGTTATGACTTGGTATAAATACACTAGAAACACATTTTTAGAGGACTTTTGACCTACGAAATATTGGAAGAGCATTGGAGACTCAAAGCATAAAGATTCATCATTATTTCCTCAACTCAACACCTGAGTTTGGATTGAATTCGTGTTTTCTTATTGTTCAACTTTATTTGTGATTAATTTCTCCATGAATATGGAATAGTTTATCTTAGAGTTTGACAGATATGGTGTTTTTATTGATATTTGTAGATTTTAACTCTAGTTCTTTGCTTGAATTCATTTATGAAGCTTTGAATTGATTGGAACTTTATTCACCAGTTTATTTAATCGAAAGAGGAATATTTTGGTGATTAGTTTTGTATTATTTTATTTGGTTTAATTCAGTGATTCTTTTAAGTAATCGAAAGAGCTTGTTGAATTGTTGATTAAATTAAGTTAGGATAATATTTAAGAGATATTTTTCTGAAGACTAATCCATTAACACATGCTTGCATATGTTCATAGTGCTTATATTAGTTCACCTTGTGGAGTTAAGATTTAATCGAGAGACGAGTCTTGACTACATGTTTGAACTAATCATCGAATGAATTCGTGAGAATCATTAGAACTTTAGAGTGAGTTGAACTAGAATTAGATCCCAAATAGCTATCTTGAACATATCCTGTCATGACCCTTATTTCTCCCATTGATATTTCGGTGTTACTCAACTCTTGTCTTTTTGTGATCAATTATTAATTATTTTAGTTTCATAGTTAATTTTAGTTATTAATCATTCCAACCAAAGTGTTAATCATCCCTTCTTTGGCACACACTAAACTAGGCTAACCCAGTTGATGTCAGAGATGGGGAAAATGATTCCCGCATCTAACCATTTGATCACTTCTTTCTCCACCACTTCTTTCATATTGGGTTTCAGCCTTCTTTGATATTCTCTGGAAGGTTTGTGCCCATCTTCTAGTAGAATATTATGCATACAAAAGGTTGGGCTAATACCCTTTATGTCTGCAATGGTCCAACCAATTGTAGTCTTGCACTCCTTCAGAACCTGCAAAAGTCATACCACCTGTATATCTAACAAACCAGATGAGATAATAACAGGTAAGGTCGAGTTAGGGCCTAAGTAAGCATACATGAGGTAAGATGGTAACAATTTTAGCTCCAATTGTGGTGGCTCTTCAATTGATGGCTTAGCTAGAGAGGTCTTTCTTTCTTCTAAGTGTAAAGGCTTGAATTCGAGCTCTCTTTTCTACTACCCTTGGCCTTCAAGAGCCAAAACCTACTCCGCCAAGTCTTCACCATCTACCTCTTCTAGGTTTATGAGGCAGGCTGCTAGAGGATCTTTTGCATTAAGCATCTTATCTTCTTCCTCCATGATCACATCCACTGCTTCAATCAGAGAGTAATTAGCAAACTCACTGGGTCGTCGCATGGACTTCTGCACATTGAATGTTATTTCTTCATTATTCAGTCTCATCTTTAGTTCCCTAGTTTCACAATCAATCAGAGCTCTCCCTGTGGCTAAGAATGGCCTTCCCAAAATTATTGGAATCTCCTCATCAACTTGGCAGTCTAGAATGACAAAATCTGTCGGGAACACAAAATTTCCAACCTGCACAAGTACATTGTAAAGTATACCTAATGGCATTTTCCCCATTCAGTCGGCTAGTTGTAATAACATGGATGTGGGACTTGCTCTTCCAATGCCCAACCTTTTATAGATAGACAAGGGCATCAAGTTTATGCTCACACCCAAATCACACAATACTTTAGCAAAAGCATAGTTGCCTATGGTGCACGGAATTGTGAAACTCCCTGGGTTGGATAACTTCTCAACTATAGGTCTTGTCACAACAACACTATAGGTCTGAGTCAATCTCATAGTTTCCAAGTCTTGAAAGTCAAACTTTCGAGACATCAAGTCCTTCATCATCTTTGCATAACCGGGCATCTCCCTCAAGGCATCAATCAGTGGGATGTTCCCCTGAATCTACTTCAATATCTCCATGAATTTCTTGTATTGCTCATCCTTCTGATATTTGGCCAATCTCTGTAGGAAAGGTGTTGGAGTCTCTTCCTTTCTATGATTGGGGTGGAATCCTGTTCAGACACTTTTTCTGTTACTTCCTCTTACCCTTGCTCAGTTTCCTTTGTAACCTCTTTTTCTTTGTTTAGTTCCTCCTGGGCCTGCTGCATTGTTACTTCTGTTAGCTCAGTTGGCTCATCTACCTCAATTGGTACTACCACAAGTATCTTAGTTGGCCGGCTTTTATGAGCAATTTCTTTCTCTTAATCAAGATCTCTACCATTTCTCAAACTCACAACCATCAGCTGCTTCGGGTCCTGCTCTTTCGGGTTGACATTTGTGTCCGTAAATAGCATCCCTTGGGGACAATTATTCAGAGCCAAAAGATATCTACCCTAATTCAATATCAATGCCTTTTATCGTTGAGTCATGTGCTTCAACCTTCTCTTGTATTTTTTTGTTAGACCCAATGAGTTGTTGCAGCATTCCTTTAATTTCAGACAACCCATCATCTTGTCTCACTATCTGTTGTTGTTGTTGGGGCTGTGGATAAGCTAGATATTGATTTTGCTACTTGTAACCATGTTGCCTTTGGTAAGGCATGACTTGATCCTGTGGTCGCATAGTTCTAGGATTGTTGTTGTTATTGTATTGCTAATGTGCTGGTCTATAATGCTAATTCTGCATTCCCCAATTCTAACCACCTTGTCTATGGGCTCCATAGTTGCCCACATAGTTCATATTCTCTTGATAGTTTTGATTGTCACTTTTACCGCTCCACAAGCACACACATGGTTGATTAATGCATGGTGTGCATAATTCTCCATTTGTCGTGTCAACTATGTGCACCTGCTTTTGGCCCGACTCATTAAAATTTTTGTGGTAAGGATACTCATTTGCATCATTAGAGTGTCCATATTCTCAGCTATGGAGTTGTTTGGGTCTAGAGCTGCTGAGTGAACTACAGGAGTGATTATAGAGTCTCTTGTCATCCATCTTGGGTTTTGAGCCATTTTATCAAGTAATATCTTACATTCTCTAAATGATTTGCTCAAAAATGATCCACCTGTTTAAGCATCAATATTGGCTTTCAAGTTGTCTGCCAATCCCATATAGAACATTTGATCAGGAATGCCATGGTGAGGACACTTGACCAACATCCCTTTGAACCTCTCCCACGTTTCTTGCAGTGTTTCCGCTGGTTTCTGCCTGAAGCTTAATATCTCATCAACTTGTTTGGCAGTCTTATTGGGTGCGTAGAATTTGTTCAAAACTGCTTGACTAATTCCTCCCAAGTAGTGATGGAGTTTATGGGGAGCGAACTGATCCAAGTCTAAGCCTCTCCCGTCACTTAGAATAGAAACAACAATAGCCTTATTGCTTCCAGTGTCATTTTCAGTTGCCTTTGCATGGCACAAATCGATAGAAAAATTTTCAGATGCTGTTGTGGATCTTCAATGTAAGACCCCGAGAACAGTCCCTTGTTCTTCTACAACAGATGTAGCATGTTATTTGTGATTTGAAATAATTCCGCTTGTATCTGATGGACTGCAATTGCGGTTGCCAAATTTTTAGCGGTGGGTTGTGCTCAATCATACAAGGTTGCTTCTGGCACAAGAAATGACACACCCTGGTTGTTCGAGTTGTTCCCAATGTTTATATTGTTTTGATCGTCTATGACGTCACCCATGTCTAGTTCGATTCGTTCTATTGAGTTCTGTTATCATTTGTCTTTCTTGTTTGCTCGATTTAGTGCCTTGAAAGCTTTTTTAGGGTCCGGTAATTCTTCTTACAATTCACCAGTTCTTGAAGAGTTTCTAGGGATGCACCTATAACACATAAGACTACAAATGTTAGAGTTTCAATATAATAAATTTCAAGTCGAGAAAGTTGACTAAACTAAGTCGAGAAAGTTGACTACAAACGTCTAGCGGTCGTTGCAAATATAATTCAGTTTACAAGTCTGGAGTCGACTCCCACTAGTTCCCCAAGAATTCAAGTAATCAACCCTCAGAAATATTAATAATGGCTTGGTTATTAAAATGCTACGATTTATAACTAACAGAGCAAATGTTGTAGACAAGATTGGAAAAGTCTATGGTTATGAAAAAGAATGAAATGAACAATAAAGAATGATGGCAAGTCTCTCTAGCCCCTAAGAAAAAGAAATGCCTCTAAGGGTTTGGCAAATGTGAGCCAAGAAATGAAAATTGGAGTGCTTAAGGAAGTACATAACCACTTATCCCATATGGTATCCTATCCCAATCCAAAAGCCTTCATTACAACCCGAAAAATGTCCTACTTAATTTTAAACCGAGTGACCTTACATTAGTGGAGATCTATATGAGGGGCAAGCCTATGGTACTTGAAGCCTTACTTGTGACATTCTTTTGCTAGAGAAGAGTGAATCCTTTATTGCTCTAGAATTTGAGTGTTAAATCATGAAGTGAGCATAGAAAATGGAAGTTAGAGGGGGAAGAGTTTGGAGTCCACCATGATTTAAATGATAGAACAAGCATGTCCTTTATGAGTAAAGCCAATTCTTGAAGCTCAAATGTCACACTATAGTTATATGCAAGTCACATATGTTTTGTCACCTTGTTGAAAATGCATGAGTATTGTGGGTAATTGTTGATTCCAACCGAGTAAGAATGAATTACAATTGACTCTTTGAAATGACCTTTCACTTAGGGGAGGTGGGAACTAATCTATTTGCTTGATTACAAGAAAAGACTTAAGTTTGGGGGAGTTGATAAGTGTGAATTTTAACAACTTATTAGTATCTTCTTGCTTTAGGTTTTAGTCCAAAAGTAGTGATTTTTATTTTTGAATCTAATGAAGTTGTGTGCAGATATGTTGGAGGATTCGAGCTCAATGGAGAAATCTAACTCAAAAAGGAGTGTTCCAGCTCAGCAAGGCAAAGAGGAGTAATGCAAAGGAAAGTGTGATCCGCAGAACTTATTCTGCGGCCGTAATGGAGATGCGGTTCGCAGAAATGCAAGTGCGGCCGCGTATGTACCCTTGAAGCCTCAGAGGATTTCAGTAGGAGTGCGGTCCGCACACCAGATTGTGCGGTTGAAAACGTTGGTTGCACTGACAAAGCTTGAAAAGTTCAGGGAAGCTGTAGAAGACCAAGTATGAAGCCTCTTTAGAATGCGGTCTGCATCCAAAATGTACGGCCACTGAAGCTGAAGTGCGGCCATAGAGATTATTATGCGGCCACAGAATCCCTCCCATTGCAAGAGCAAAAGAAGAAAGTGCGGTCCACACACCAAATTATGCGGCCGCAAAACCTCCCGAAGGATATTTTTGTCAGCAAATTTCTAGATACTATAAATAAACGAGAAACATGTTTTTAGGGTAACTTTTGTATTTTTAGCAGCTGTAGTGGTTAGAGTTTACTACTTTAGGAAAGTTGTGATTAAAATTAGAGAAGACCTACTACTTTTATTGTCTAATTTTAGTTTTATGTCTTCAGTTACTTCTATGCTTTTATTTTCTATGTCTTCAAGCATGAGTAGCTATATTTTATCTAGGGTTATGATCCAGTCCTAGTGTGTAAAACTTATAGGCTATTAATATTAATGCTTGTTAATGATTGAGTGTTTATTATTTAGCCTTGTTTATACTTTATATCTAGATTTAATGGTTGCAAACATTAATTCATGCCTATTGGACTTAGTTCTTACTTGAGAAAGGGGAACCTAGTCTAGAAAAACTTGGCTAACAAAAAATTGAGCTAGTTAAGGTTTTGACTAGTTTGATTAAAGTATTTGAACTGGAGATAGTGATAGTCCCACTTAGACTCATATCAATTATTTAGATTGTTACCCATTTTGGTCTTGAGAAAGCCAATTTGGGCATAATCACTCTTTGCCGAGAGGTATTGAGTGGGTACTTAAGAATTGAGAGTCATAACACACCCCGATCAACCAAGCAAACATTACTTTACTATACCTATTAGGTTTACACCTAGGTGAAGGCTACATCCCTAGGCTTTTCCCTTAATTGATTAAAACACCAAAAATATTTCATTCTCTAGTTGGTACTATTTAGTTTAATTTCTTAGCTGTCAACTTAGATAACAATTATCCATTGTTGTTTGAAAGTCTAATGAGCTATTTCACGTTCTATTCTTGAGTATTTACCTTAGCATCAACCTAAACTCCTTGTGGAATTTGACCCCGACTCGCGTTGGATTTTATAATTGCAACGACCGTTTCATACTTGTTATTTGAGTGTGAATTGGACGTGATCAAAGACATTGGAATCAATTACATGAACTATCACAACTCTTTTGTTATAACAAAAGTATATTGTACATGACCATAAATTCAGTGTTTTATGCTCGCACAAAGCACATAAAAATTGATTATCACTTTGTTTGCAAAAAGGTGGCTATTGGAGCACTGACAACTTGATATATTCCCTCTTCTATGAGATTGCAGATATCTTCATCAAGCCTTTGTCAAAACTTCCATTTCAACATGTTAGGGACTATATAATATATTAAAATTAATATATAAAGTGATTAAGTTATTTTTAATATATATATATATATATATATATATATATATATATAGTGCTTAAATATATTATATTTAAAGGTGGTTATTATAAAGTGTTTGAGTAAGCCCATTTTTTATTTTATTTTCTCCTTTCCATTATTGGTAGAAATGTATGTGACGACTCGGCCGGTCGTCTTGAGAGTTATAGCCCCGATCCCCTATTAACTATTTTTCCCGTATCTATTTCTGCTATTGTGACTTGCCGAGAGGTTTCGTTTTGATTTTTAGAGTGTTTTGGAAAACTTAGTCCCTAAACAGGAGCTTAAGCCTTATGATTTGAACTGCAGTCGGAACTGTATGAAGACGACTCCGGAATGGAGTTTTGTCGGTTATGTTAGCTACGTTAGGTGATTTTGG